CCCTTTGGAATAGGTTATGAATTGTGGGTTTTTGTTAATTATACCACTTTTGATGCTTTTCTGGTCTGTCCCAGACTTTGGTCTAAGTTAACATTACCATTTTCAAAGCTTCTCGGGAATAATTTTGGAACTGGGCCACCATTCCGCCATCAGTGCCCTCCTAGTTTGACCTTCAAGCGAGGTTTTAAAGTTTTCTCCATCCATACATCTTGGAAGAGGTCTTGAATCCTAGGTCACTCGTAACTACTTTACCATAAGAAATCCTCTATTGTATAGGTATGGAACCTATGCCTTTGTCAACTATTCAATCTCAATTCTAGGCTGACTCCAATCTAGCCCTTGTTAAGTTTTCTAAAACCAGCGCCCCTTAGGCTTTGCGTTGAACATGTGACTCTAACTCATTTAGCTTTGATAATGGGCTGCAAAAGGCCGCTTCTGCCAACTTTAATTGACGCGGGCAGAATGTTCAGGTTGTGAGTGACAGAAGGAGCCAATGGAAGACCAGGAGCGCAGAGAAGCCAGGGCGGTGAGTGATAGGAGAGGGCGGGCCCTGACTCGACTAAGAGCGGGAGGGTGGTGACGCTATTCTGGGAGTAGTGCGCGGGAAGTGTGTTCTGAGCCTGCAAGTGAATATGTATTATTATGTCAAAGGTCTCTCCACTTTCTCCAGATGCTTTAGAAATAAGGCTTCCGCAGAGCAATCTCTCAGGGGGTGCTTCCACCATCCGGCCTTAGTACTCCCCCTCTCTCCACCCGGTTCCCACCGAACCCTGCAACCGGCCGCGTTGCCACACCTTTGCTCAGGCTGTGCCTTCGCTGATGGTCGAGAATACCCATTCTCCCGCCGGGACATTCGCGGCGCTTCCCAGTCTCACACTGCTTTTGAAGCACCGATTTTGAACATTCTGCCTAGGAAGTATCATGGGGACTCCCCGGGCTCCAAAACGCATATTTCCTCTGGCTGGAATGGTAGCCTCAAGAAGCAGTGAGAAGCACTAGCCATTTCCTGGCCGGTGATTGGGTTGCTGGCGCAGACCGAGTGGCGCCATACTGGCATAGCTGGGGGTCCGTGGCTGATTCTGAGCGTGCGGAAGATAATCCAATGCGTCACGCAGACTCACCGAGTAGGGCTAGAAGGGAAAAGGGAATTTCGGGGGATGTTGAGCCCGTTTGTGCAAGCGGGAAGCCAAACCCGGTTTGAGAAGGAGCTTTTGGGTCCTGAGAACAGAGCCAGGGTGAGGGGCCAGGCTGAGTGATGGGGGGTCTGTGTGGTCGGTGAAAGGGACCTGTGGAAGGAATAGTGAGGGGTCCTTTGGGCTGGATGATGTGGACAACAGTGATAGGGGAGTGTGGAGGGTCAGAGATAATGGTGTGTGGGGTATGCGAGTTTATGGGGGTGAGTGATGGGGTATCCGTGTGGTGAGCAATGGTGTGTGTAGGGTGAATAATGGGATTTCAAGGGGGTGAGTGAAGGGGAAGGTCTATGAGATGAGTGAAAGTGAGGCGGTAAGTCCCATAAAAAGACCAGCAGGACCCCTAGGCAGGGCCGCTGCTCTCCTCCCAGCACCGTCCGGTTCCCTGGCCCAGAGACTCTTATCTCACTTTTTGCCTCTAAAGCGGCTTACTTACACCTAGAATTCTATTGGTTCCCTGAGCTCACTTCTGATTGGCTA